TAATTAATAAAATAATTGATAAATTTGACTTAATTAACACAGAAAAGGTTGGTCTTGGTAGAACTTCATTGGAACACCATAAAATAGATACTGGTAACCATAGTCCGATTAAACAGCGTTATTATCCCTTATCACCTATCAAGCAACTAGCACTCGAGAAGGAATTAGATAAAATGTTAGCCCTGGGGGTAGTTTCTCCTTCCCAATCGGCTTGGAATTCTCCAGTAGTAATGGTAGAAAAACCCAATGGTGAAACCAGATTATGCCTAGACTCTCGAAAACTTAATTACGTCACAAAACCAGACGCTTATCCCTTGCCTTATATTAACCAAATATTAGATCATCTTAACAACGCTAAATATTTAACCTCAATTGACCTTAGTGCCGCATATTGGCAGATTCCTTATGACTCTGCAGCATCTGCTGAAAAGACAGCTTTCACAGTTCCTCGTAGAGGCTTATTTCAATTTAATGTGATGTGTTTTGGGTTAGTAGGGGCGTCAGCAACCATGCAACGCTTAATGGATAAATTATTTGGCCCAGAATTCGATAATAAGGTATTTGCTTTTCAAGATGATATAATTTGCATTAGTAACACTTTCTCAGAACATATTGAGCTCCTAGAGAAAATATATCAGCGCCTGAAAGAAGCAGGCCTGACAATAAATAAAAAAAAATCACAGTTTTGTCGCAAAGAGCTCAAATATTTAGGGTATTACATTGATAAACATGGTTTAAGAACGGACCCTGGTAAAGTAGATATAATCCTTAACTATCCTACACCCTCGAACCCCAAGGAGGTAAAAAGATTCCTTGGAATGGCAGGTTGGTACAGAAGATTTGTGAATAATTTCTCTGAAATCAGCAAACCGTTATGTAAACTCACCCGTAAGAATGTGGATTTTGAATGGAACTCTGAGGCACAGAAATCCTTTAATTTGCTTAAAACTGCCCTTGTTTCTGCCCCTATTTTAAAAATGCCAGATTATTCGCGCCCTTTCCGTATTTTGACTGACGCATCTGCATACTCAGCGGCGGCCGTTCTCACCCAGTCTTATGACGGAATGGAACACCCTATTGCCTACTGTAGCCGCTCACTTAATAAAAATGAAGTTAATTATAGTACAACAGAGAGAGAATTATTAGCTGTTATTTATGCATTAGAACAATTTAGACAATATGTTGAAGGTCAGGAATGTACCATAGTCACAGACCATGCTTCACTGTTGTGGTTTTATAAATTAAAAAACCCCACAGGTCGTTTAGCACGATGGAGCATGCGTCTTAGTCAATTTAACTTTAAAATAGAACACCGGAAGGGTCGGGATCATATCCTCCCGGATACTTTGTCACGTATTAAATTAGACTCAATAGAAATAGATTTATCAAAAGATAGTTGGTACTCTTATATGTTAAATGCAGTAAAGAATAACCCACGTAAATTTCCTAACTTCATGGAAAAAGATGGAAACTTATATAGATATTCGAAAAATAAATATGATCTTACTAGCGAATTTGATTGGAAACTGGTAGTTCCTGAAGAAAATAGATCGGCAATTCTTAGGAAATATCACGATGACCCTACTAGTGCACATTTAGGTGTCATGAAGACACATAGGAGGATCGCCTTACATTATTACTGGCCCCACCTATACGAATGTGTGAAAAAGTATGTAAGTGAATGTGAGACGTGTAAGCAATACAAACCTGTGAACACGGCACGTCCCGGTCTTATGGGAAGTCCTAAGAAAGTGACCAAGCCATTTGAAGCCATTAGTTGTGATCTATTGGGACCCTTTCCAAACTCAAGGAATAGAAATACTTATTTAATAGTTGTTTCAGATTACTTTAGTAAATATGTCATGTTGCACCCTATACGGTCAGCAACAGGCATGGCTGTAGCAAACTTTATAGAAAAATATGTATTTTTAGTCCATGGCGTTTGTAAAACCATCTTTATAGATAACGGTCCACAATATGTTAGCTCCCATTTTAGACAGCTGTTAACTAAATATAATGTACCAAACATATATTACAATCCTAAGTATCATCCCCAAACGAACCAAGCTGAGCGGGCAAATAGAAACATAGTTCATGCGATAGCCTGTTATGTAAAATCCGAACATAGAAGGTGGGATGAACACTTAATAGAATTGCAATGTGCTTTAAACACGGCTGTGAATGAAGCAACTAAATTTTCACCCTATTTCCTAGTCCATGGTAGAGAGTATATAATAGATGGTAATTTATATTTAAATTCCTTCCCTCCATGTCCGTTAGATCAAATTACCTCAGACAGTACATTGGAGTATGGGAAAAAGTTGCTTGAACTTAATAATATCTTCCAAAAGGTGAGGAAATATTTGATTGTTGCCCACCAACGGAACGAAAAACAATATAACCTCAGAAAAAGACACATTGAATTAAGAGTTGGCCAGATAGTGTATAAACGTACTCATTATTTATCCAATAAGGCAAAGAATTTTTCTTCCAAATTAGCACCAAAATTTATTAAATGTGTAGTGACGGCTAAATTATCACCTTTAGTTTATACTTTAACCGATTTAAATGGTAAATGTTTAGGTAATTATCATATTAAAGATATACTAAAATATTCTGCACTATAGAACTAACAAATCTTTGAATTCCACATAGGATGCTTATTTTAGTCACTTTCAGTATTAAACGGTTGGTTAAGAAGAGTTATGGTATAGGAAGAGTGCATATGGAAATCTGTGGGCTACGGTTCGAAACCTGCCTGAAAATTAAATTGTTTTTCTCTTTTAACTAAATAAATATTTATTTACAACCTTTTTTAACCTATATGGTCACTTTTAAAAAAAAAAAAATGCTTAAATGAAATTTCGAGGAATTTTAATATTTTAACACAAAAAAAATTTTTTTTGATAAAATTATTTTCGTCAAGTTGTGTTTACTGATATGCATATGGGTATGAGAGTAGTATGAAATGCGTGATGTATGAAAAGTTTTTTTTTTCCAAAATAAGCACGTGCAATTTATTTTAATACTTAATAGAAAAATAGGTCTTGATGTAAGAAAGGCATAAGCATAAGGAAGTGGACATATATTTTAGACTTGATAATTAAAGATAGGAAGATTGTTGGAAAATAATCTTAATCTTTTGAGTTAGAAAACATACAAACTTCTTTAATCTTGAGTTGTTTTCTTAACTACCTTAAGTTCATAAGATGAAAAAAAAGGCCATGTTATACCACTGGATATTAGATCCAAGAAAGGTATTTAAATGAAAAAAAAAAAAAAAAAAAAAAATCATTAAACAGCAAATATTTAATTGTTGCTATTGACTTAGAGTTTAGAACATTACGTGGAGTAAATAAATGGATACTCACGTATATAAGTTTAAATTTTTTTATCTTGGCTAATACTTAGTATTGTTGATTTGTCTGTAAGTCAGTTGCAGGTTAATTAATTAAAAAAAAAATTTTTTTTGGGAAAAATTTTTTGAGATAAGGGGGATGTTGTGTAGCAATTAAATTTAATAACGTTAAAAACTTAGCAATATAATTCTTAAATATTAAGTCGTAGAAATATTATTTTTTTATTCAGCGCCATCTATCATCATGCATATAAATTATTCAATATCGAAATCCACTTTGAAAAGCAAAGGACAAGTACAATATATGTGTGAACCTAGTAGTTGCATTTGGAATGTAAGTTAGAGGGAGCTAGTGTGTAATTTTTTAATGAGATGCGGAAATGGATGTGACGTCACATTAATGTTCTGGAAACATTGAAAGGCGGAGTCAGCAAAACCGGTCCGTGTGCTTCCTCATACCAAATATGGTGATATGAGAGAAATTTGCAATGACGCTGTCACGTGTTGTAGTAGCCTATAAATAGCAGTGCACAAACAGATTCGCTCTTTTGGCTGATAGAACCTTGAAGACCATACTTAGAAAATAGCATTAAGACTAGCAGTGGTAGTCAGTGCATCATATACTTGATATTTCTCCCCGGATTAACGGGTCCATTAATTTGGCTAATTAATAACAATAATAATCACAATTACTTGATCCTGACTGGAATCTCCTTGGAAAAATATATATATGAGCCTGTGAAGCTTTCTTGAGCAAAAAGTGACGGGTTCACGTGATGACAGCAAGTCCTGCTTCATCCCTGAGGACATTTGAGTCATCCTGATGCTCCCATGATCTTGCCAAGCTAAGTAAAACTTATAACTTCTTGATATTTAACCAGTGCATACTCCGGAGAACAATTTCTGTTTAACGTGATAAAGGATTTCTATTGGTAAACTGTAAAGCCATTATAAGTACATAACAAATTTTTATTGTTAAATTTTTAAAACTTAGTATTTTATAACTTGTTTAATAATTTGTTTATATAAGAAACTTAAATTGAGTATTACTGTATTAGCACATGATCTTGAATGTTTGAATAGCTTTAAATCAAAAGAAAAATCTTTGAAGAAATATAACTATGTATTTTTAACTTGAATGTGACTAGTATTAAGTTTTAACCATGATGAGATAAGATCTGAATCTTTTTAACAATATAATATCTTGTTCACTGCGGTTTTAGACATTTTCATTTATCTCCCTCAAATCACAGTATCACGGCGCCCTGATTTTAAATTAAATAAGTTTCGAGTCTCATGTAAGCCCTGAAATAGTCGGTGGTAACTAAAATTGTTACAACCAATGATGCGCGTAGTTATACTTACATAGTTATATGGTAGACAATAGAATACCTTTGTTTACGTAAAGTTTGAAGTTTTCGAAATATTAAATTATAAAGCTATTTGAATTTACAACAACTTCAAAAGGCTTTCATAGTCATGAAGTCTCTGATTTAATCAGAGGCTAATTGTTTAACAATAAGATCTCGTGTAGTCAATGTCGAGGAGGTGCGCGCGCAGCTTACGATAGCGAACGACGCAATAACCTGAGTGGAATAAAGGTTATTTAAGTCACAAATACATCGATATATAGGTTAAGTACCTTTATACTGGTCCTTTGATAACAGCAGCGAGAACAGAGCGCGGCGTTCATCGCTGGAGTCTATCTCCAACAGATGTGAGCGCAGCTTGCGACAGCGCACGCTAGCCGCCTTCCAGTCGCCGCCCTCACCGGACAGAAGGTAGCAACCACTGCCTACTCGGGTGAAGTTCCCCGCGCACGGCTCTGTGGAAACGCGGATCATTATTACTGTGGACTAACGGACCCTTGACCTGACCTACGTTAGCCTGCAACCAAGGCCGGATTTAAGACAGGATAAGCAAGGATGTAGCCCAGGGACCCCCACAAGAGATATACAAAATTACTACTTACGTCTCCGTGCCAGTTGTGAAGTTTATGTGCCTCTTTTAATTGTCTCTATCTGAATTTATTCAGTATGTTACTTATTTTAGTACCGTATGTGTTTAGCGAAATCCCTGGGTTTATGGAATGGAATGCTTGACACACGCAACATTAAATATGCAGTAGTGTCGCCGATCGATAGTCGACTATCGATGATTAATCGATAGCCAACCAATCGTATGACAATCGATAGTATTGGTTGGGATGAGTTAAATACTATCGATACTATCGATAGCATTGTAGTTCGTTAATAACAAACTATCGATACCTGAAAATTGTAAATCACAAACTTTAGTCTGAAACAATCGCTAGTATCGATAGTATTGTTGAAGATAAAAGCAACAGTGTCGATAGTATCGATACTATCAATAGGTTTTTATTAACGAACTACAATAGTATCGATAGTATCTATAGTATTGTTGTATCGATTCCATCGATAGGGTACATGATTTTCGATGTAAACTGTCGATAGTTTTCAAATCGATAGTTCGTCAACACTAATATGCAGCATAGATATCCAGGATTGAAAACGTTCTGAACACTCATGAATAAATAAATAACGCGGGTATAATGATATCTTTGTCTGGCGAAAAGAGATTTATTACTACCTACTGCTCAAGAAATATATTACCTACCTGATTTAATCATAACATAAAAAAACAAAATTTTAACACATCATTTTATTCAGAATTATGGAAACGTCTACTTTTCCACGACTAGAAATAATATCATTCGGTTCAAATGCAAAAAAAAATACTTTCATATCACAAACAAACGATTGTGTTTATATCACTTTTATATTATCTCCCAGTCGGAAATTGATTCACACCTACATTCGTTATTCTCTCTGGTGAATGCCATCAGAAAGCAATACGCCCAACTTTCACCGCGCAGTCAAAACAGCGGGATTGAACTTTATAAACCCGCATTCACATATCGCGCGTGTCATGTCAATCATAGCATTTAATTTCATCACACGGAGAATCAATACCTAATTTAGTAACTGACTAGAATCAGTTTCAGTACAAACAGTAGGGACTTTATTCTACGTAACTAATAGAAAAGATAGCCATTTGATGTTAGTTAAGTTGTGAGATCAGGACCCAAATATTTTTATAGAGCTTTGGTAACCTATAGGTTTCATTCAAGAACACCTCATACAAATAGGTCTGTATGGTGGAGGTAGCTGCGCATAAAAAATAATACATTCTAGACAAAATGCGTCGCACTTTGCTATAAGTAATGTTATTCTGACGAGAGTTTTCCAACCCTCTTTTCAAAACAGGGTTGATACAGGGATTTGGAATCAAATGGATTCTTAACTATCAATTTTGGGAAACTGTTAAATGAATCAGTCTATGACGATAGTTTAGTTAAAGTTGTTTCCATAAAGGGTAGGGTACAGACTTGTTTTTTTCTTTTTTCTTTTTTTTTTTAAATAACAGATTTCTTCGCTATCGTAAAATAGTTCGCAAAAGTAAAATGATAAACAAGAATAAATAGAAAACTGGGTTTGAATGTTAATGGTGTCGGGCGAGTGTCCTGCGCTTCGGCGGTTCGTGCTTTAGGGCGGGCGACGCACAGTTCAGTGGCCCTCCACCAGTAAGGTCGAACACCAGCTATAACGTGCTGGTGGTGGACCAGAGATAGAGAGGGAACAGATAAAAGATGAGAGTGCCCTTCTTGCCAGAGAGAGGCAAGATGGGCCAAGAGAGGAAAGAAGATAGAGAGTTGATCAGAGGATCAGAGAGGAAAAGAAAGACGAAAAAAAAGAAGATAGGAGGCCTAATGGCCGTTACTGAAACGCCTGTTGCCGACCTCGACCGGTCGATCCACCGGGTCGGTCGCGCTACCGGGCTGGTCGCGCTACCGGCTAGGTAGCTCAACCGGTCGAGAGGTCCGATCGGTCGAGCCACCTACCCTTTAGGATGAGTACCGCCAAGCTTAAAGTTAAATATACTAAACACAGACCTGGTTTGACCTCCTTTCCGGCTACAAGGTAGTGCACGGAGTCCTCGAGGCGTCGCAGGCGCTTTTCCATAAGGTCGGCACGGTACACCAGCTTCTCGATCGCGCTGAGCAGGTACAGGTCCGTCTCCGACACCTGCTTCTGGGGCGCAGCCGGGGTCGTCGCGTCCACGCGGTCCACGGCCCACGGGTGGGTCACGGGAATAGGCTGTTGCTGGTTCTGCGCCGACTGGTTCGGCAGTTGCTGGAGAAAAGGCGAAAGGTAAAAAGAGAACAAGCTATAGGTATATTACAATAATCTGGGGCGTCGTGACAACGTGGTCCGCTGCTGGGATATGATATTGGTACGGCCGGCTGGTACGAGAGTTGCTGGGTAAAAGTCGGAAGTAAATAAGTTTGAAAATAACTTCTTCATCATCTGCAGTTAATTTTCCGTTGAAACCTGACTAATTCGCTGATCTTGCAGCCCACTTTGCAGATAATTACAATCATTGAGCACTACATCTTGAAATGCCTGCCGAAGCCAAGAAATTGCAAATGTTTGTGGTTTTTGTATACGCTTAAAGAAAGAAAGGGACTATACCGCGTCTGATATGCGAACACAATGTCGTATTCCAGCCAATTGCGACACCAAATATGCTGCGCATTCCAGTCCATTCCAATCCCATCCCATCCCAAAATCTTTATGCCACCTTAAAGCTACTATAAATTATAATAAATATATTTATGTTTTCGATGTAACTACTTTTAAATATTACAAGCTGACTGCGATACCATCCTGTCATAAAAAAAAAATGAAAACTCACATAGCTTGGTTTGAACTTGTCCTTATAAGGATTGGTTGGTCGGTTTACGATCTTGCCCGCGCCCGGCGGCGGCGGTGGCGTGGCCTTCCACTCGTCGTACTGCGCGTAGCCCGGAGCCGGCTGCGGGGGGTGCTGCGGCGGCCCGTGGGGCGCATGGGAGCCTTGCGGGGCGCCCTGTCCGTACCCTGGATGCGGCCCTGTAGCAAATCAGTATTTGCTGTATATATTTGTGATCGTTTACTCTACAAAATAATACTGTGCTATACTCTACAAAATGATATCACCGAAACCCCGCCGAAAGTCAATAGGCGATGGTATGAAATATGCTTACTGCTCGAGAGTGGAACTCCTTGTCGATACTGTAAAACACGGAACAGGAGCCCTTCTCTAATGCAACTAAAAACAAAATGTCAATCTAAACTTCGCATTTTTCTTACTATGTTTTTCGTTTTCAATTATAATAATATTCGTCGTCAGAATATAGATTGAGCTGTAGATTTTCTAAGCTTTAATAAAGAAAAAAGCAAAGAAAGGTTCATTTGATACTTTATCGTTCAAATTAAGTATAACCTTAAATTGACGAAATTAAATTTCGTTTGAACTTCGTTCCGTTTCGAGAGTAGACCCCCTGATAGGTGTTCAATGTTGAGAGCAAAAAATAAAATAAAATCGTGGTAGTTTTGCAAATTTCGTAATGGCCGGTTATATGTATAAGCTGACCAAAACTGTATTGACTTGAGTTCGCAAGGTACTATAAGGTCCCGGCTACATCAGTAATCGTTAGCATTAGGACATACTAATCCGCGCTGGCCGGGCGTGATTGTTCATGGTCCTGGCTCTATTCCATCTAAAGAGAAGGGCCCCAGCAGTGGGGATATTAATAGATAGATAGTTGATGATAAAGTAAATGACAGTTAATTGTTTGTATAGACATAGAGAGTGGCGTGAGCAACACTCGCATAAATGAAAAAAGACAACTCTGACAAGAAACAACACACAGACGAATTAAAGTCCGCGCCATCACTCAAGTCCGACGGCAAAAAGTCGAACTAAATGTGACAGCTCCTCCATCTAGTGTTGGGTAGGACACGACTTGAAAAAGAGTTTGTAAGAGTAGCCTCTTTTTTGTACTGAGCCAGTACAATGTCCCACTTCAAATGAGGCGAGGCGTACTGAAGCTCGGCAATACATTTGAAGTGACGAGTACAAATATGACATTGAGGCGTACAGAAGCTCGACATAACGTTTGTGTGCACGAGTAGCACCTCCTCTACGCACTATCATACTGCTGGATATCATATCATCATATATATATTCATATCATATTGCTGGATCCAGCATGCAGGACAGCGCTATACACGTAAAACAGATAGAGATACAGATGGATAGTGCGTAGAGGACTTAAATGAAATGTCATGCCTCGCTCTCTCTCTCAGACTTACGAAGAGTGAGTGAGTAACGAGACGCGACTATCGCGACATTTAATGTGAAGTAGTACATTTTAAAATTTTGAGCCGCTCTTACAATTTGGCGTCGTGTCCGGGACAAATGTACCGCCTCTTGTAAGTCCTACTCAACACTACCTCCATCTTGTCGTTTGTCAAGTGTGTGAGTTGCGAGTGTTCTTTATAGATTTGTGTTGTTTTCAATTGGAAGAAGATTGATTATGAAACGTAAAGTAATAAGAAGCGCAGCCAGAAAATCAATTCTTAAGGTGAAAGAGTATTGTGAACTGGAGAAGAAAAATAACGAAGTTTTGATCCCTTTACAAAATTATCAAATGCGAGTCGCTGCCATGACAGGTAAATTTTAGGGTTGCAAGGTTATTGATGTGTACCTAATTTTATGGAGTAACTTTTCTAATAGGTTTTAGTTTATTAGTTTTCTAATAGGCTTGTGTTATGTTCATATAATTCATACAAAAAATTGTTTGTGTTGCATTATATTATATTTTCATATTTATTTACTTTAGTTTATAATTAAAGTATTCAGATTTTTCCTTTTTGCAGTTGCGAGGACCTTATTAAATAATTGTTCATAGTAGTAACAATAAATTAATACTATGAACAACAATTTCAACTTTTTTTTTATGATTTTAGGTGTGTCTGTCAAAACGGTGTCAAGAATTACTGGTAAAACTGTACTTCCAGGGCCCAAAAGGTGATACTTGTATTTTTTTGTAGAAAAGGTCTTTTTAACAGTTTTTTTTTCTGGCGCTTCGCCGGCCGCTGCCGCGGCACGCTCGCTTTGCTCGCTCAGCTCGCGCGTTATGGTCACCACACTAACCTAACCTAACCTAGTGTGAAGTATCACCACTTGATAAGAAAAGTAAAAATTTTCAATATTTTTTTCCAAAAAACTACCAGTGCATAAGTGTGACATTTTTTTTAATAATGTGGTTAACAGAAACCTTTTTAACAACAAAAATGCGAAATTACAACCAACAAAACTGTGAAGTTTTTACTTTTGGGCCCTGGAAGTACAGTATATCCGAATTACTAAATAAGGAAAAATTGCAATGGCAAAGCTCCTACGTTGTAAAGCTCAAAATCACATGTGCAGGAGTGGTTAAGAAAGAAACTTTGAAAAGAGACGGATTGAACCAGTGTTATATGATATTATTATAAGAAACTCACTCCACTGACATGACTAACCACTGCGAAAGTTGCTTAACTTCAACAATCGCAGCGGAACGCGCTAACCACTTGCCGCCATCGAGCTCCTCAACGTAACAGCTACATTAACCCGTATTTATTACTGTCCTTTAACTTAATTGTTTCATGTCCAAAGGATACAGATGTTCAAAATCTCTGTATTACAGAGGAACAGCCTATAGTCCTACCTGGGATCCTTTAAAAGGGGCGTGAAGAAGCAACATGCAGGCCGGCAGGCTGGTGTGGCAGGTAGAACTGCTGTATCAGCTATCTTCGCGTCTGGACTTCACCTTCACTTAACATCAGGTGGGGTGGAGTCATTTGTCGGACCTATCTATAAAAAAAATAAAAAAAAATAGTAGACTGGAAAACAAGGGCCTTACCATTAGTTCCATGTGAGTTAGGTCCATACGGTGGGGGTCCATGCATGGTAGCGGGCGGTCCGTACGGCACGCTGTGTCCGTGCGAGGGCGGCGGAGGCGGCGGCGTCAGCGGGCCGTCTATACGATCCGTCACGTAATACCCCTTCGTGGGCGGGAGAGCCATCACTCGACCTGGAAAAGGGGGAAAGGAGATTATTGGTTGATTATTTGGTTCTTTACATTTATTACATAAAGAGAGTGAATAGCGGATAGAACATTACTCTCTTTGCGAGCTTACTCGTACCACATCTGAATAAAATTTGTTAGAGCCCCTTTAATGTAACTGCACTGCATAAATGTAAAAAAAAATGGGTGCGTGTACTTATGTAGGCACGTGAGAAGTTATCCTTCTTTGGCATCGTTTAAAATTAGTTTTTAATTGCATGCAAATAATTAATTACAATAAATTAATAAGAAGTCTGGAAAAGGACACAGTCAATAAAGTTCAGTTTTAATTTGAAAAAATAAATAAATAATCAAAATATTCAATTAAAATCGCTACTGAATATAATTTATTAGAACATATGTGATTTGCACTTGTATGAAACTCAAACACGTATTCCAAATATACAAACTAGAAACATGTGGATAAATATTATAAATATGAATACCTATAACTGTTACTTTATTACAAAAAATAAAGATGTGGTTTTTGGTTCTACTACACCAATGGTGAAGAGATGGCGCTGTAGTCTCCTGAATCGCGCTTTGGTTCCGTTGTTCCAGATTAATAAATACTTTTGATAGGCCTTCACAATGCAGTCGTTAGCACCCACAAAATAGAGATTCTATTTTGTTGGTAGATTTTCTTAATGTGCGGTAAACACAAAAGTAACAGCATGAAGTTGGTCGCTTTAGCGCTAAAGTCGCTAAAGCGACCAACTTCATGCTGTTAATTTTTTTTTGTTACAGTGATGCGCGCGCATCTTAAAATTTCACTCTCATCATTTTTTCATAACGCGCCTAAAGAAGTATAACTTCAAAAATAACAAAAAATAAAAAACCGACTTCATAAAATAAAATTACTAAAATGTAAGAAATAATGCATATTCTTTAGTCATATCTACATCAAAACTGCGATCTCTCTTTCCGATTTCGTATAATAATGAAACAAGATAGTTGTTTATCTCCGAAACTATTCATCATATCTTTACCAAATTAATATGGGACCATCTCGCTAACAAACTTTTCCAAACAAAAATAATCATCAAAATTGGTTGGCGTGATAATGAGTTATTCGTTCATATGTCGCGCACATACTTATTGTTTTCTCATGGATGCCATTATAGAAATTTTATTGGGAAGAACCAGCTTTCAAATAAAAAATCTTCATCAAAGAATCATCAAAATCGGTTCAACCAGTGGAAAGTTCTGAGGTAACAAACATAATTAAAACATAAATGGTAACTGAAGTGTAACTTTTTTATCCCATATATATGTTTATTTAAATATATATAATGGAAAGAGAGAAAGAAAATGTTCGCACGCACTGCTTTCTCTGGCTTATATCCCCCACTTAACTCCCGTTCGCCTACTCTTTTCGTAACGCGTAACGTGTTCGCCAGCTTACCCCCCAAGTCAAGCGCGCGTAAAGAAGTTTCACTTCAAAATATATAAAAAATACAATCGAATTGAGAACCTTTTTATTTTTTTAAAGTCGGTTGCAAAAGAGTATACTACAGTCAATCTTTTAATGATAATAGTTCTTTCCGGCATTGTTACGTTTGTATCTCTGCTGGTCTGCTCACCGTGCCTGATCTCCTATGTAGATGTAGCCCAGTCAGAAATCAGAAATCAATATATCTTTATTCAAATTGGATGTATAGCACAACTCTTTTGAAGCGTCCAAAAATTTTTTTTCCCTACCACTCGTTATGGACATATTTTTTAGCTGCGGAGAAAAACGAGCGAAAAAAACTCCACAACATTAAAAGTCTAATGTAACAACATTTACAAATCATTATGTTGTTACAACGTCAATACAATTATGATTTATTTAATACTAGTGGCCCGCCCTCGCTTCGCTTCGGTGTAGAGCTGTAGTGTAAACTATAGTTTTTGTTCTCAGGCTTGTGCTATAAACAATGACTTTATTTATATAATTACACGTGTTAATGTGAGTCAACCATAAAAGATAGACATATGCTGTTGCGGGATATTTTTTAGACAATTTTATGTAGAATATTTCCGTCATACATGATTTCTATGTAACTTTAACCATTAAGGCTGCACACGCGACGGAAGCTTAAAAAATGGAGTAACTTCTCCCGTTTTCCCAACATTTCCCTTCACTACTCTGCTGCTATTGATTGTAGCGTGATGAAAAGTATACTATAACCTGCCCAGGAGTATGAAAAATAATTGTACCAAGTTTCGTTAACATCCGTCGAGTAGTTTTTGTTTCTATAAGGAACATACACACAGACAGACAGACAGACAAAAATTTTACTGATTGTATTTTTGGCATCAGTATCGACCACTTATCACCCCCTGATAGTTATTTTGAAAATATATTTCATGTACAGAATTGACCTCTCTACAGATTTATTATAAGTATAGATAGAAAACCTGTTGGAATGATTGGAACAGTTCAAGCCCAAGCATTTTTGTCTGTAATATAATCAGACACTTTGTAATAAGATTTTTTAATAAGTGTTTTTTTTATAATATCTTTAAATTTATTTATGGCTAACTCTTGGATATTGCTTGGGACTTTATTGTATAAGCGAACACAAAGACCTTTAAATGAATTATTAATTTTGTGAAGCCTAGTAGCAGGTAAAGTTAGTTTATTTTTGTTTCTTGTGTATTAATAAATATCTTGTATTTATAAAGTCCTCCGGCAGCACTCCCTACAAGTTGAAGGTGGCGCAAGTTTTCTGATGTCTTGTCATGGTCAGATAATCAGATTTTAAACTAGCTCTGATCAATTGCAGTTGATCGAAAATTTTCCTTCATAAATCATTATCACCAACATCAGTTGGTTCTTGTTCGCGTGACGATGTTTGCCTTTCTGCTGGTCAACTCACATACCTGGTTTAAATCTAAAGAAAAGTTTACTAGAAAAAAAAATTGCATTTGGCGTGGATTTTTTTTCTAGTAAACTTTTCTTTAGATTTAAACATCTAGCAGTTAAATGCTTAAAAAATAAATAAAATCATAACTATAATTGCTATTTCTTCTTTCAAATGTTTAATACTTGAAAAAGTATTCATTCGACATTGTGGGTTACCTACAATGCGAAGAGATGGCGCTGCCTTGCAGCTTAAGGCTAGGAAAATTTCGACGCGGCTAATAGGGCCGTGGTAGCATAATGGTCAGTGCATTCGCCCGGATAGCGAAGGATGCGGGTTCGAGTCCCGTCCGCTGCCTGGTCCGCGTGGATTTTTTTCCAGTAAACTTTTCTTTAGATTTAAACATCTAGCAGTTAAATGCTTAAAAAATAAATAAAATCATCACATACCAGGGGGCCAATCGCCTAACTGGATTGCTTTGGAAAACGCTATCGCTTACGATTTCATTTTGTTATTTCTAGCCGCCTGAGGTTTTCAAATAAAAATGAGCGTGAGGTATTTGAAAACCTTCGGCGGTTAGAAATAACAAAATGAAATCGTAAGCGATAGCGTTTTCCAAAGCAATCTGGTTAGGCGATTGGCCCACTGGTGTTTTGTGCAGACGTAGCCCTATCTTCCAGCAGCCTTTCCAATAGTTAGGGGCGGTGTTGAAGGTCTGGTCGTGTGCGGATTTTAGACCAGTTCTTTAATCAATTGATATTCATTGAAGATATCCTTTCCAAATGATGTTAGTTCTTGAAGATTTTTGGGTTTCTGCTGGTAAACTCACCGTGCCTATTGTCCTGTGCAGACGTAGCCCACTCCTCCAGCAGCTCTCCCCACAGGTTGTGTGGGATACAGGTATCGGATTCCTTGCCAGCGTCGGATGTCGCGCCGCTGATCAGCAACGCGTACAAGAACACATACCAGGGACTGTTCATCTGAAATTGTTTAAATAGTGGTCCAAATTAATCCAAGCTGCTTTTATCACAGTACCCAATACTTATGATAATATTATGTTTGTTGAATTTATACCTAAATAACAAATCTGCCGAATGTATACAATGAGTTGTTAATTTTGTATCTTTACATATTTTAATATTGCTTAAGTTTAAATTTTTTATTTATTTATTTCAAGTAACAAAGACTCATATTATATATAACACACTAATTAACTATTTATTATTATTGATTTATTAAATTAAAATTATTTCTGAGCAGTCACTAATAATCAAAATTAAAATTGAAGAAGAGTTTTACTAGAAAAAAAATCACGCGGACCAGGCAGCGGACGGGACTCGAACCAGCACCCTTCGCAATCCGGGCGAATCCATTGCAACTTAAGGCTAGGAACAATTCGACGCGGCCATCAGGGCCGTGGTAGCATAATTGGTCAGTGCATTCGCCCGGATTGCGAAGGGTGCGGGTTCGAGTCCCGTCCGCTTCAAATTTAGCTGTCCGTAGCAAATTTAATAAACATCTAGCAAATAAATGCTTAAAAAAAAACAAAGTTTTCTATTCCATAATTAAGAAGAGAAAAAAGAGCGAAGTACGGAAGTAAATAAACAAATCGAATATGAAAATCCAATACAAGTAGCAAATTGATACACATCAAGTGTCTATTCCTTTAGAAATACTAGGTACCTTGTTTTTTTTTTATGTTTTAGGCGGCATACGAGCAGACGGCTCACCTGATGGTAAGTGATCACCGTCGCCCATGGACACTTGCAACACCAGGAGTATCACAAATGCGATGCCGGCCTTTAAGGAAGGAGTACGCTCTTTTGTTTACAAATATGCACCAAGAAAAGAATAGCTAACGCAATAACTGACGTCCATCAGCAGGTCATTGGCACACGCGGTCCTGTTGTGCCACTTAAATTACAAAACACCACCATGATTCACTGTTTAGTGATTCTGCGAAGAGCGCGCGTTACGCCAGTTACGTTGACGTCCGACCACGACGTTACTAGTAAACTGGTTACATAACTCGGACGTGACGGTGACAATGCATCCGTGAACGCATAATCGTAGAATCTGTTATCTATTAGACAAGTCCGTCCGTCCGTCCGTCTGTCTGTGGTGCTGTTTCAGCGGCCAAACCGTAAGAGATAGATGAAGAGAATGTTTAAGTTATAAGTTAAGAATAGTCTGATAAGACTGAAAACCGGATTTGAGTAACGTAGCACTTCCGGTTTTCGAGAAATCACGAATTTCAAACGAAACCACACAAAATCTCCCAAGTTCTCAATTAATTAAATACTTTTTTTTTTAAATCAGGTTTTGGTGAACATTTGGTTCACTGGTTTGCTAGTTTTTATGTATTGTTTAATAATGTAGGTACTGTAGGGCTTTCCTGAAGGGAAAACATGGGGAACGTAGCTCACAATTATTATAATAAGAACAGTTAGGATGCTCAACTTTGTTTATTTGAACTCAAGAAAATTACAATTTATTATATCAACCGATCGAGTCTGTGCGTGAATTCGATCTATCTAAAATACTCGGTATGAGACAGAATGTTCTCATATTTGAATCCTCTCTGATTTGTAGTTTTTACCCGACTGCGCAATGCAAGAGCGCGAAGCGCGACGCGCAGACAGGGTATAGTGTTTAACAGTCTATATATGTATGTTTGTTCCTTTGTGGCACACTAGAGACCAAACGCCTGGGCCGATTTTGATGATTCATACATCATTACGTTTATGGAGGGAAACGAGCTGGAAATCGACCTGATGGTAAGTGGTCACTGCACACTTGCAGCACCAAGGGTGGACTCACATGGCACTCATGAGTTATGTTACTGGAATCTTCGATCAAGTGACTTGTCCTCTTCTTGCCGTTTAATCTTACGCATTGTTAGATTAACGTGTAAATACCAGTGAGTGAAAGCGCCCACACACCCATCGCAGGCAAGGATCTCGTTTCCGTCGACTCATACTTGCGAACTCATCAGGTTTCCCCGCTTTGGCAAGCGTTTTCTACACGAATGAAACTTATATAACATCCGCACGTAATAATAACAGGAAAGTACAAGAAAAGACTTATGCAATGTAATAACATTTTGTTTTATTAAAATACTTACTTATAAACAGATATTACCTACCCAAATCTAATTTTTCTAATGCTAAAGCATGCCAAAGTTGTTCTGAAATCGGTGTAAAAAACTGCAGGTTTACGAACTTATTTTTATTTTGAGAAGCATTAATTTGATGATACTAGCTGGTTGAAATAGCAGAAGCCGTTTCCATTTTAAAACATATGATCCACGCACTCTTCTCAGGCAAAGTTTTTACAAAAACTATGGATGTTTCTACATTCACTCAGAATTTAACTTAATGTCTTTTGAAATGTTTCATTTCATTCTGAGTCGAGTACGGTTGCTGTGAGAGTTATTATTTATGTAAGTCTGAAATTTTTTGACGTAATATTCATCAGAAAACAGAAATTAAAGTTGTAATGCAATTCGGTAGAGCAAATATATTATTTATATAAAATAAAAACAAACTATTAATTAAGCTATCCACAATCTTAATAAGCCAAAGAGTAGTAGTTTGTTAAATAAAAAATGAATTTAAAATTAGCTATTAAATTTCTATTTATATAAAAAAAATACTGGGAAAAAAATCAAAGCTTTTTTGAGATCTTTTGTCTCTATTGTCAATGCTTTTCTTAACGCCTCACTAGCCTGTATATATTTTAATTCAATAAATTGTTTTTTTGAAAATATTTTAATAGACATACATAAAAAACTCTCATATTAATTTCAAACCTGCTATTTGTTACCGGAAGATGCACTTCACACAAGTTAATTCCGTCTTTAGACATAAAATCTGACAAAATAAGAATTATCAAAAATAATATTTCTTTCGTAGGTTTTCACGCACATCACTCATTAAATAAAACTAGTTTTTACGGGTTAATGCACGAAACTTTATTTATTTATTGACGTTTCGTAGCCTTTACAGGCTTCGTCGTCAGAATCAAACTTTTCGACAAATTAAATAAAAGTTTGATTCTGACGACGTAGCCTGTAAAGGCTAAAAACATCAATAAATAAATAAAGTTTCGTGCCTTAACCCGTAAAAACTAGTTTTATCAAAAACTAGCAAACCCGGCGAACTCCGTTTCGCCACCAGATGGCTTCGTTTTATGTAACATTTCGTTTGGCGATTTAAAGAAGATTTTTTTTTAATTTTTCCTGAATTTTCTTTGCTATAAACCTCACGGAGCCCGAGACCTTTCCAACGAATGCAAAACCGTGGAAATCGGTTCGTGCGTTCTGGAGTTATAGCGTCAGGAAGGAAAACCCGACTTATTTTTATATAGTAGATAATATTCACTTTAGGTGTAAACTTAGGCAACTCACTTTCGTTGGTTTACGTCACTGCACCACTCGATCAGTATAGTATATTAGAGTAATCGCGGATTATAGCACACACTTTCGCTGTTAGCTGTCGTGGCGACCGCATGAGCACTGCTTAAACACTGACGAAATCGTTGCGCTTGCGCACCACGCAGCCCGCTATCAAAAGAAAGCAATCATACCTTTGGATTATTTTGTTGGCTCCATTTATTTATTTATTCATTGCATATCACATTCATAAAAATAAGGTGGTACATAACAAATACAGTAACCATGTGACGCCCTGCAAGGGCACAGCAATTTTAGAGGGTTATTATCTACTAGTGGCCCGCCCTCGCTTCGCTTCGGTGTAGAGCTGTAGTGTAAACTATAGTTTTTGTTCTCTGGCTTGTGCTATAAACAATGACTTTATTTATATAATTGCACGTGTTATTGTGAGTTAACCATAAAAGATAGACATATGCTGTTGCGGGATATTTTTTAGACAATTTTATGTAGTATATTTCCGTCATACATGATTTCTATGTAACTTTAACCATTAAGGCTGCACACGCGACGGAAGCTTAAAAAATGTAGTAACTTCTCCCGTTTTCCCAACATTTCCCTTCACTACTCTGCTGCTATTGATTATAGCGTGATGAAAAGTATACTATAACCTGCCCAGGAGTATGAAGAATAATTGTACCAAGTTTCGTTAAAATCCGTCGAGTAGTTTTTGTTTCTATAAGGAACATACACACAGACAGACAAAAATTTTACTGATTGCATTTTTGGCATCAGTATCGATCACTAATCACCCCCTGATAGTTATTTTGCAAATATATTTCATGTACAGAATTGACCTCTCTACAGATTTATTATAAGTATAGATATACATTTAAAATTCATTATTAAACAATTGCACAATATAATTTATAAATTAAGCTTCAATCATTCTTTACATACATTAGTATTTTGTGTCAACTCTAGCATGACTCTCCAACCCAAACCTAAATTTGACGACAGTAGTATCGATTCTGGCGTGATTCTCTAAACTTAAAACTAAATTTAATATCAGCCTCTCCTTTTCATTCTGTATAGAGAATGATAGGGATGCACTGTTGTCAAATTTAAGTTTAGCTTTAGAGAATCATGTTACAATGCTCTATGTCAGTATGTTATTGCATATGAAAGAAAAAGTTATATTCAGCTGAACCATAATTTAATAATAATAAAAAAAAATAGTCCATTTATGAACCCTATTTGAGGAGCTCGATGGCGGCGAGTGGTTGAAGTTAAGCAACTTTCGCAGTGGACGGTCATTGGATGGGTGACCAAAAATGTTCTATCTCGAGTCCCTCCGTGCTTCGGAAGGCACGTTAAGCCGTTGGTCCCGGATGCATCTGCAGTCGTTACCACCTGCCAATCCGCACTGGGACCGCGTGTTGGGTCATTGCTCAATCTCCTTATGCCATCCATAGGGAAGGCCTGTGCCCCAGCAATGGGGACATTAATAAGCTGCTGATGATGATGATGAATAATCCATTTATTCATAAACAAAATTATATAACAGTCACCCATACTACGCGAAGCCCGTCCTATGGTGGAAGTAAAAAATTAAAAATATATCATTTTCTACCTAATAATACAAACAACTATATAGAATGGATACATAGGTGATAGTATGCGCGTATATTTGTGAGTATTTTGGGCGTATAAGATTTTTGAGATGTTATTTCGCATCTCCCGAACGGAGCTGTGATTGGATAATAGATATGTTATTAATGTTGGTTAAAACTAGTCTATACTTATAATAAATCTGTAGAGAGGTCAATTCTGTACATGAAATATATTTATAAATTAATTATCAGGGGGTGATAAGTGATCGATACTGATGCCAAAAATGCAATCAGTAAAATTTTTGTCTGTCTGTCTGTCTTTCTGTCTGTGTGTATGTTCCTTATAGGAACAAAAACTACTCGACGGATTTTAACGAAACTTGGTACAATTATTCTTCATACTCCCGGGCAGGTTATAGTATACTTTTCATCACGCTACAATCAATAGGAGCAGAGTAGTGAAGGGAATGTTGGGAAAACGGGAGAAGTTACTCCATTTTTTAAGCTTCCGTCGCGTGTGCAGCCTTAATGGTTAAAGTGACATAGAAATCATGTATGACGGAAATATTCTACATAAAATTGTCTAAAAAATATCCTGCAACAGCATATGTCTATCTTTTATGGTTGACTCACAATAACACGTGTAATTATATAAATAAAGTCATTGTTTACAGCACAAGTCTGAGAACAAAAACTATAGTTTACACTACAGCTCTACACCGAAGCGAAGCGAGGGCAGGCCACTAGTTGATAATAAATGTATGGACCGAGAAAGATTCCGAAGCGTTTAGCAAAAGAGGTAGCAACAGTAACATTTGGTATTGAGAACACACTTTTTTGCAACATCTCACTGTATTTATTGCCCCTTATTATCACTGTTTTGTGCTGAGACGACTATAAGGATAATTTTCTATGACGCAAGACATGAGCTTCTTCGTAAAGAGCATTTGTTGCATATCTTTTAGGTTTTCTTAAGGAAACTTTTATGTGTGATGTGATGTGATTGTTTATGATGTCTAGACCATATGAGCTACTCAAGCTTAGGTTTTAAATTAGCGATAAGATCTCTTGTAAATCCGTAGGCGTAAGAAATAGTGACTTATGTGAAGACACATTTAGTAACATATTTCGATGTCAAGCTATCATGTCTGGTAACGCCAAAACATATTCTAATCTCTGAATTCCATACCGTGTCATTCTCTTTTCGAATTAACCACATCCCAATAGATCCTTCTCCTTCAAACACTGTGCCTTATGCTTATGAGGGAAGAGAACGCAATATATTTGCCTGCAACGACGGATGGCCGGAAGGAAATGGCTCTGTCAGCAGGCTGTCACCACATCGACAAAGGAAAGTGCTGTCACCGCGTAAATACGAAATGGTCGAATTTTTCATCGCTCCGCAAGAATTGTGATTATATTTTTCCGCATTAGACTCAGTTAAAAAAGTGTGTGAAGATTAATAAACAATCTTATTTAAAGAACAGATTTTCTCGACAATATTAGGTTTTGTGTGTGATAGCTATCAACGGCTTTCTTGACCGCCATCTTTAACCGCTGGCATCAGGAAGAGACTGCTGCAGGAGAAGCTGACGTAAGAGCCAGCGCCACCGTCGAGGCCCTCCGTAAGTAAGCACAGTGTTTTGTCCTCATCCTATCCCATAAACCAAACCCGCTTAATATTTCGAACCAACACCTACAGTCCACTCTCCGGGGTTTCGACCCCACCAGATATCTTTTACCGCATTGGGCTTCACCAATGTCATCATGTCACATTTAAATCTCTGTAGGCGTGAAAACTAAATGTATACAAAAGGGACCAAAGGGATTCAGAGATCATAGTCTCTGTGTATGCACAGTATGTGACGTTATGAAGCTAATGGTGCGATTATACTTGATCGTTAGCCCGAATGCGAATGCTAATGGAATTCGGGTAAGCGACTCAGTGTTAGTGAACGGAGTCGAGTACGCCCGGATTCAGGTAGTTTTTGTTTTGGTTACCCGACACCGTCTTCCAGCCCATGCTCCAGTGTAAATATTGTTTCGGGCACCCGAAGTAACGTCTATCGTGTATTCAAGTAACGTCTTTCGTGCACCTGAATACCATCTAACGACCAAATGTAATTGAGGCATTAGAAGTCTTATTTTACGACTAGCGGCCCGCCCTCGCTTCGCTTCGGTGTAGAGCTGAAGCGTAGACTACAGTTTTTGTTCTCAAGCTTGTATTGTACACAATGACATTCATCTATGATTCTTCTTATACCTGCAAAGTCTCAGCCCGATCAGTTTAAAATTGACAAAGTTTCATACAAACCTTCATTCCCTATTTTATCCCCTTGGGGTAGAATTGATCAAAATCCTTTGTTAGCGTATGCCTACGTCATAACATCTCGATCCGTCCAGTGGTTTGGGCTGTGCGTTGATACATCACTGTCAGTCAGTCAATCACCTTTGAGTTTGATATAGGTATATAGATGTTCAAACTATTATTGTTTTAAGTTCTCAAATAATGGAATTCTAAATTAAAATAACTAGTTATTATTTCTGTGATTGACTCTGTATTATAAATTACTCGAGAATCTAAATACCCCGTGTCACTAGGAGTTTGATTCCTTGTCCGGAAACTTGTGTTGGAATGTTTCCCAACACTAAATATTGTGCACAGCACTAGTTGACCAGCAGCGTCTCTCGCTGACTCTCTCTCCATTACCGGCCACCGTATTGTACGGACGTGCTTCCTATTATATCTAATTTAATTACTTCTGAGTAAGTCCTAGCCATAATACCAAGTTTTTCAGTGTCTGTACTTACAGTGTATTTACCTTTGTGTCTGTATGTGCATAAATATACCTTGACCGATGAACCAGTGTTTGTGTTACTACCATTCAACCTAACTACAGTCCGCTACCAACCGAACAACTTGGAACTATATACCCTGTCTGCGAGTCGCGCTTCGCGCTTTTGCATTGCGCAGTCGGGTAAATAAAGACGTTTCACTTGAGACATTTGGAAGGCTGAACTAACAGAAATCTTCTTTAATTTCCAGAGTTGTAGTTTCGTAATAAGTATAGTTATTATAGATGGTGCATCTACTTCGATCGCCGAAGCAGAAACGGTTTCACTGCAAGCGCACGTTGTATGAGTTCGAGCTAGTGTTTCCACAATGAGGGGAAATTCCCCTTTTAAGGGGAAATTAGGGTCCAGAGGGGAAGAAAAAGGGGAAAGATATGAAAGAAGAAGAAAGGGAAACTGCGGGAAATTATGGGTAAAGCTTAGCCTAAAATAATGCGGCACGGAACAAAATTTTTATGGACTATACCGTGGACTAGAGTATTGCCGTATAAAAGAAACTGTGTCAACACGTGCAGATTTTATATATTTTATTTATCTGTTACAGAATAAGATAGATTAAGACCTTTTTTTTCTTTAGTTACTACACTAGTGCCAAATCTAAAAACTACAGCAGAATAATTTTTGAGGGGAAAAATGTCCTAAGAAGGGGAAATCTGAATTGAGGCGTAGGGAAAGGAAATCATTAAAGTGGAAACACTTCGAGCTGTAGTTCGAGTGGGTTTCTCGCTAATCGCAATCGATTCTAATATTTATTTAGCCGAGACTTTTGAGTTCACTCAATGTACTCAATTGATTGTAAGCTATATGGCGAATAGGATAAGGCTAAAATTTATTTAAAAAAATGCTGCAGCATCTAC